TAAAACTGATGATGGTGGAAAACACCGAAACGTTTTTTTTAAATTGATAAATGAACAATAAATAAATGACTGAAGAACCCAGGATTTGATTTTAATTTTATAAAATTAATATGATGAGATTATGCACTCTAATTAATATTACTGACCATTGTAAGTATTCGTAAAATGAATTTATTTCGCTAAATTTTAATTAAATCGAACTTACAGTGTTTGGACTGAATAGAACGATTGCAATCGAGTGAAAGTAATTATCTAAACTGTAATATCTATCTTTACATGAGTTTTACACGGTAATTAGCTGTTACTCAAATTCACTTCAGACCCTCACTTCACAACATCAGTTTATGGCGCGCGTTGAAGCACCATGCGTTTCGCTTCGGGCCTACCTATTCGACTCGTCAGTAAGGCTTATGTAGGCCCTGCCTTAGACGCCAGATACAGTGAATAGATTGGAAGTTCTATTTGAATCGGAACGCCGCAGATCTTGGTGGGTGAGATATAACTGGCGTTTATGTTGCAGCTGCTATTTGAGAAGTAACAGATAAAGTTCGCCACAAGTTTTTATTTTTTACAAAAATGTGTACGTCTACATATGACAGCTTTATGTTAAATGAAAAAGTCGATAGGATGGTAGATATGTAGCCCGTCTCGAAACTATCATAAATTGCGCAATACGGCCTCAATTATACATTCAAAAATTTAATTGAGAGGCGGTTTTTCATTTTTTACCATTTAAAGTTGCTTCAATGAAGGTCAACTTTATGCATGTTCGACATTGTTACACATTTCAAGTTTTGAAAGGCTTATTTGCAAAAGTGAGCACAACAATGCCATAACACTCAGAAATAAAGTTAAAATATGGTTTTTACTATTGTTTTACATTTTTACATTAAAATCTAGATATTATTAATTAATAAATCTATACTTAATTGACTATTGAGAGCCGGAACTACCAAAGACAAGGAAAAGCGAAAAGGAAAGATTATTTGCCTCTGCCAAAAACCTGCTTAAACTGTGTAATGTCAGCAAAACCAGTTTATTGGAGGTTTGGATATATGGTTTCCACGAATGAAAAATTATTTTAAACTTTGTTCCCTTACCTTTCGTGTTTTCCACATTTATTGCACAATATTTTATCTTATAATTGCATTTAAATTGATTAGTTCTTGAAGTTATTATTATTAAAATCCCATCGCAAGCTTGTAGAATCACAATTATCACAAAACTCTCTATCAATCCCAAAAAAATCAGTTGATACCATACACAAATGATTAATATTACTATAGTTTTGCCTCTCTATTGACCTCAATCAAACGCGACATGGATAAGTTAAATATTCGTCAATAATAATTTATGAGGATTACATAATTCCTAATCGTGATTTATATTTTCACATGGTTTCAGTTAAAAATATTAAATATTATCCGGAGGTAGACTTACAGCAGGAATAAGATTTACAGTCCTGAAGAACCCATGTCGATATCCTAAATATTTATGGATTCAATATTTAAATTTTTTTCTGTGTGAGCCACAAGTAACCTGACTAGAAAAGAACATTAATACATCCAATTCTTTTGTCTCTAGAATTTGAATTTCTTGCACCATAACCACAATGTTGTGCTCACTGACACTGACAGTTCATTGGGAGATGGCATAAAAACCGACACGTCCCACTTTTTGTTTACTTGTCCAGGTTTCTAAAGTAGTCCTGCAAGTTTGTGGCAAAAATCTCCCGATAACTGTTTTAGTTCGTTAATTTTGCATTTATATTGCCTTCTGCATTGTGTCGACAATGAGTGTTGAGCAGCCGTGCTACACGTTAATCAATGTGTCTTCGGACACAGAACCATGTAATGAAATGCACTTGAAGAGTGATCTAGGTAATTAAAACATCCAGTTTTACTATTAGCTGTAGCTTTATGTGATTAAGCAACGGGTCGCATCCCTAATACTTTCGCAGTATTTGCCACAGACACTATTTAAAGTGGGTTTCTCCCATAATTAGCATAACTACTAGTAGGTTGTTAACTAACACCACTTTTTTTATTTCAGAGAAAGGAGACACTCAGCAAAAAGTAGAAGCCCTGAAGAAAATAATTCGGATGATACTAGCAGGTGAAAGATTGCCTGCAGGTTTTCTTATGATGATCATTCGATATGTTCTACCTTTGCCCGATCACACTGCAAAAAAGTTGCTGTTGATTTTCTGGGAAATCGTGCCCAAAACAACCCCCGATGGCAAACTGTTGCAGGAGATGATTTTGGTCTGTGATGCCTACAGGAAAGATCTACAACATCCCAATGAGTTTTTAAGGGGCTCGACATTGCGCTTTTTGTGTAAGCTGAAGGAACCTGAATTGCTGGAACCACTTATGCCATCGATTAGGTATGTAATTAATAACTTTTTCATAGGGAAGATCTATATAGAGGGTGGCAAGCAATTTTATTAACTCTAACCACTTAAATGCCATTCTTAGCACATCAATACCCCAAAGTTGATAGGTCGTAACACGCATTTTTGCAACATATAATAAAAATACAGAGTTCCTATAACAATAGATAAACATTAGCAAATAAAATATTACTCGAGCAAGTATTTATTTAAGTATTCGCAGCTTTTTTTGCTTTTCATTTTTTTTTAGTAAGGCCCGTGTAAACATTTATTAAATTGGGTTACGACCTATCAGGATCATGGGGGAGATGTGCACTTTCAAGAACAGTTTACAGTTTTAGTTACAATATTTAAACTTTATCCTAGAAAGAGCTTTTGTGCCGGAATAACCGGAAGATCGTACATTTGTCTTCATTGTTGCTTTCAAGTAGGCATTACTAATCGTTACATTTGATATAAGTAATGTGATCATTTAAAAAATTCGTTATGTTGAATTGTCCTGCTAAACCTTTTTTTGTAGTAAATGGTATTATCAATTTTATACTAGGTATTTGTAGGTATACTAAAGAAGCTAATCTGTACTTATTCTTTAAAAATTTTCCTCAAGTTATTAATTTATCTTGCATAACACAATGTCAATAGGCACAAATTTACAGTTGATTCAGAAATCGTAAATTTTTAATACTACTACACATTAAATTATAATTGGAAAATAGTACAATCTCGAATCAATTTAATTTTGAAATAATCCCCAAAAATTTTGTTAATTGAAATTATTTGATTCTGTTCTATGGTCTGTTGAAAATATCAATCTCGAATTGCAGGTTTTATGCAGGGTTCTGAATCTCAGCTCCTTTCTTTATTCACATGATTTTCGTTGCAAAAAATATGTTACGGTATAAACACTGTTCGACTCAGAGGACATTTAAAGATGTTTTAAATGTACCGAATGTCCTAAAAAATCGACCTTATTTGCTAAAGAGCAGACTATATACAGGGCGTTATATGTGAAACGATTGTGAAAGATGGCCTCACTTGTTGAAAAGTTTTCAATTTAATTTTCGACACCATGCTGCGACACCTGGCTATTAGCATCTTGTTAAATTTGGGGTTTAAAGGTGTCAATCGATTTATTCTCAATATTTTCAAGTATGTGTACGTCTTTTTCACTTTTAATTATTTCTTCGAAATTATGTCGAAGGGATTAGAGTCCCAATCTACGCTGAAAAACAGGATGGTTTGTTTAATAAATATTTGAAATTAGAGCAACCCGCATTTTTGGGATATCTGTGAATTTTAAGAATCAATCTTTGTACTATTCTCTGTCTTGATAAAAAACAAAACAAATATAATAAGTAATAATCTTCAATTAAAACGTATTTATATCGTCTTCAGATTATATACACTATTCCATATAACTAATAAAAAATGCGAACCTGTTGCCCATATCAAACTCAGCAAAATACTGAATATTTTGCAGAGCCTGTTTGGAGCATAGACACAGCTACGTTCGCAGAAATGCCGTTCTGGCGATTTTCACCATCTACCAAAACTTCGAATTTTTAATTCCTGACGCACCCGAATTAATTTCAAACTATTTGGATGGTGAACAGGATATGTCTTGTAAAAGAAATGCCTTTCTGATGTTACTTCATGCTGACCAAGAGCGGGCCCTATCTTACTTAAGTTCCTGTTTGGACCAAGTGACATCCTTTGGTGATATATTGCAATTGGTTATTGTAGAGTTGATTTACAAGGTATCCAATGAATTGCTCTCATTGAGCAGAACCCTAATATTTTTTCGTTGTCCAGGTTTGCCATACTAATCCATCCGAAAGATCCAGATTCATACGTTGCATATATAACTTGTTAAACTCCAGTAGTGCTGCTGTGCGATATGAAGCTGCTGGAACTTTGATCACTTTATCAAGCGCTCCCACTGCTATAAGAGCGGCTGCTTCATGTTATATTGATTTAATAGTAAAAGAGAGTGACAACAATGTTAAGCTGATTGTACTGGACAAATTAGTTAGTCTTGGCGAGCATCCTACTTACAACAGGGTTTTGCAAGACTTGGTTATGGATATTTTAAGAGTTTTGTCTAGCCCAGACCTGGAAGTAAGGAGAAAAACTCTCAGTCTGGCAATGGAGCTAGTTAACTCTAGAAATATAGAGGAAATGGTTCTGTTTTTGAAAAAAGAAGTGTCTAAAACCATTGACTCAGAGCAAGAGGATACTGGCAAATACAGACAACTTCTTGTCAGGACACTTCATTCTTGCTCCATAAAGTTTCCAGATGTGGCCGCTACAGTTATTCCAGTTTTGATAGTGTATCTAACTGATAGCAACGAATTGGCCGCTTCTGATGTATTAGTATTCATTAGAGAAGCAATTCAGAAGTTTGAAAACTTGAGGCCTTTAATCATTGAGAAACTGCTTGAATCGTTCAGAAGTATTCAATCTGTGAAAGTCCACAGGGCGGCTTTGTGGATTCTGGGCGAATACGCAACTTCTGTTCCTGACATAGAAGCAGTTATCAAAGAGGTGTCTCTTGCATTGGGGGAAGGCTCTCTTATCGCAGCAGAAAACCGTTTGAAACAAGGCGATGTTGAGGAAAATAAACTAGAACCAGGAAATCAAACTGGTCCTGTTGTGACCACTTTGGTTACCTCGGATGGCACGTATGCTACTCAGTCGGCCTTTAATTCGGTACAGACATCTTCCAAAGAAAAGCGGCCACCTCTTCGACAGTATCTGGTGGATGGGGACTTCTTCATTGGAGCTTCATTGTCCTCCACTTTAACAAAACTGGCTTTACGGTATAGCAATCTTAGTACACCAGAAAAAAGTAATCGCTTTGACGCACAAATTATGCTGATTATGAGTGGCATTATTCATTTGGGACAATCAGGTAGGACTGGTTTTGAATGTTCACAGTTGTTTAGTTAATTCAGCCATGTTAATTTACTGCTCAATTCTGTAAGCAGATATATATTTATTTTTTGTTCATTCTTTAGAAGAGTTCTACTTTTTGTGTTTGGTTGAAATTTTGCATGCTTTTATTTGAGCTGCTGTTAAAACTGAAAATATTTTTTAGGATTATCTACTAAACCAATCACAAACGACGACCGCGACCATATTTTGTTCTGTCTCAGAGTTATTTCTGATAGATCGCAGATTATCACTGATATATTTACGGAATACTGTAGAAAGGCTCTTAATGATATGCTTGTAGCTAAAGAGTTCGAAGAAGTCAGTTATCAGAAATCTAAACAGAAAACCGGTTAGATTGAAGAGTTAAATTTGAGAGGAAACTCCAGCTTTATTACGTACTAATTGCAGGCACAAAGATTCAAACCGACGATCCCATTAGCTTTTTACAACTGGAAACCGATAAAGGTGGAGAACTTGGGGAAAACGTATTTGAAACATCTCTGTCACAGGCTTTGATTGGCGGCAGACTTGGCGGTGCTGATGCTTTCGGAGCCAATAAATTGAATAAAGTCACCCAACTTACAGGTGTGATATATTTACTTTGGAAAAATCACTGCTATCGACTTTCTTCATTATGGCTCATTAGGTCTATCTGATCCGGTTTACTCTGAAGCTTATGTCCACGTTAATCAGTACGACATCGTCTTGGATGTGCTGATAGTAAACCAGTCGAACGATACTTTGCAAAATTGCATTCTAGAATTAGCCACTTTGGGAGATTTAAAACTCGTAGATAAGCCACAGCCTGTTGTATTGGCTCCCAAGGATTTTTGCAATATAAAGGCCAATGTTAAGGTATGCTATGTTGGTATTTAACTTGCCGGACACCCTGTATAGTTGTGTTGTAACTTTGATATCAGTCGTAATTGGAACTTTCTTTGTCAGATAATTAACTAATTAACAAATTTTTCAATGTGAAATTTGCGATTGAAATTTACTTCATTATCCTGCTGGGAATAATAACAAGATAATAAAGTTTTCATAATACAAAAGTTTTTCGTATCATTAAACTCTTTGTTTAGTTTGTTATGAATATATTTTTATTATAGGAATAACTTTTTTCTAGGGTATCTTTGCGTTCCGTTTGCAAATCGACTATTTTGAATTTCAAATTGGCGAACCATAGCGGGTTGCAAATTTGTTTCTCTTCATTCATTTTTAATTCACTAGATTTTAGTCTGACTAATTAGCTATTGTTCAAGGTGTCTTCTACTGAAAATGGCATCATTTTCGGCAATATTGTCTATGATCTGACTGGTGCGATTTCGGATCGAAACGTTGTTGTTCTTGACGACATTCATATCGATATCATGGATTATATAGTTCCAGCTAATTGCTCAGATACGGAATTTATGAGAATGTGGGCAGAATTTGAATGGGAAAATAAGGTAAATATTGTTATCGCGTTCATTATTATTTTCTTAATTGACTATACAGTGTGCAAATTGTTTTAAAACAGATTAAACAGATAAGGATAATTGGTTAGTAATTGATTCATAAATTACTTCACTCTTAAAGAAATAATTGTTTACAATTCGACCCTAATTGTAAATTCAGCGGTTTAAATCTGAAATTGATGGTTGTCGATTATTGGATATACATATCGATTTTTTTACTGCATAGTTTTTTTTTTCATTTAGCAGTAATAAAAATCAAAAAAATTGATTAAGGATATTTAATCTAATTTAAATTATCTATTTTGTACATTTGAATTGTATTCCTCTGAGTTACAAGTGTTGGAAATGCGGAGTCTTGCATGGGAATTTTAAAATCTCAGTATTTTTAATCGTCATGTTTACCAAATGGGCATGTAATTCTGCTCGAAAATTAACTGTGAATTTCGCACTTTTTAAGGCTATATATTAACTTTTCTTTTCGGGCAACTCAATGCGTTTTTTTGTCGTGCTGATGCATGTTAAGATTTCATAATTACCTACATAAAACTAAAAAAGGCATCCTTATTTGCATAGCTTATTATTATTTCAATATGTTATTGAAATATATAGCATTAACTAAATTCTGCGTCAATACACGCTTAATTATTATGCTAGGCGAATACCATTTTTTAAATTCTAGGTGACTGTTAATACAACACTCACAGACCTAAACGAATACCTAAAACACCTGATAAAAAGCACAAATATGAAATGTTTAACGCCCGAAAAGGCTTTGTCCGGCCAATGTGGTTTTATGGCGGCAAATATGTATGCAAAATCGATATTTGGTGAAGATGCTTTGGCAAATCTCAGCATTGAAAAACCTTTTAATAAACCTGAAGCTCCCGTGCAAGGACATATCAGGATAAGAGCTAAAAGCCAGGTGAGAACGATGGCAATCTGATAGTGTTGATTGTTGGTAATTAATAAATGTTTTGATTTAGGGCATGGCATTGAGTTTAGGAGATAAAATCAACAGCAGTCAAAAAATTAATCAACATATTAAAATTGTGTCCGCCTAAAAAACAGCGATAAAGTATTATATGCTATCATATTTTTTCATTTCTTATTATTGCTATTCCTGTAAGTTAATGTGGTCTTAGTTATAGGGCAGTAGAAGTGTGTAAGTAAAATACATTATTGGAAATGCCTCAGTTGCTTTACGAAAGATTGAAAAACGTCATTACTATTTATAAATATACAAGAAACTTCAACACGGTGGATATCTTCACAATTGTATATTTTTTTTTAAATATAAATCTATGAATTGATTGCTTAAATTTGTATGAGTTTAGCAAAGTAGCAAAATATAATATAATTATTGATTTCAGAAGTTTAATTTCTCTTCCAATATTTAAAGAAACGAGATCTGACAAATGGGTCAATTAAATCTGAGGCGATTTATTAATAACGTTCTACATAATTTTTCTTTTTTACTCAGATCAAATCGAGTTACTCTCTTGATTAAACGCGCCTCAGGTGTTTTCAATTAAGCACAAAGAGAAATATTTAATGCAATTACTAATATTGATGGAGAAAAATGCCTTGCCTTTTTTACAGTTTTTCAAACTATAAAAACTCTGTGTAAAACTGTCTTAAGCCATCATTTATTTCCATTATTTGGGTGCGGTAAAGGGTGCGCAGAATAGTTAAAAGATTGTTGGTCACTGTCGAGTAAAACATTTCCCCAGTAATTGAATTATTTAAAGAAAATATGACAGATCATGTGATAGAAATATATTTTGTTTAATTCTCAGGTAAGTCTGCATGTATTGTATTACATCTTCAATAGTGTGATGGTTCTTCAGACTTTTGTAATCCAACACCGTAGTGTTTTAATGCGCGTTTGCTAAATGCGAAAAACCTTTGCAATTTCTTATAATTTTATTAAATGTTTCTCTTTAAGTTGAATGATTTGCTTCCGTATTAAAAGGACCACAAGTTATGTTACGTAAGTATATTCTGGAAAATAACAAAATTGCATATTAATTACATTATTTATTCGTCCGTAGTTGCTTGGTTGTCTAAAACTATTACATTTGGCTGTTTTTTAGGATTATGAAACGCATTTTTACATTTTACTCTTCGTCCTCATCATCATCGTCGTCGTCCTCTTCTTCATCCACCTCCACTTCCTCTTCTTCTAGGTCTTCTTCCTCGATTTCTTCTTTGGGTTGTACAGCTACCGTATCTTCCACTTCGATCTCATCTCCTTTAGCTGTTTCTTCTTCGCCTAATAGAATCGTTGCGTTACGTTCATTAATATATTTTTTAATGCCGTATATTTACCTTCGGGAGTTTCTGGATCTCCTGGCTTTTTACCAGGGCGTTCTCCGCACCATCTAGGGAGGCGCCCTAAAAAACAAATCGATTTTCTTATGGAGGAATTAATGATAAGAATCGTAGTAATGAGTAGTTAAGTACTCACGTCTGGGACGTGTCATGAATTCTTGCATTCTTTCTTTCCATGTTTTTTCCAGCTGTTCCAAATATACTGCATCGTATCCCTATCACAAGAAACATTCTGCTTAATAAACAATAGTTTAGCATGTTGGGATTGAATGTTTTAACATAGGGAATACTTGATTTTTCAGATAAGTTATTCATGACGCTACAGACGACTTACCCCTTGGAATAGTCTTTGCCTTTCATCAAAGGATCTTATATCCACACGTCTTTCGTATTTAGAGGCCAATTGAATTTTGGGCTGCAACAAGTAAAATTGATCGTAAATAAATATGTAAGCTCTATTCGTATAACAACCAAACAAATTATTTTGTTTTATATTTCTGATTTCTACTACGCTTTCCATGTTTTATTACTATTTATTCCGCAAATTCTATTTAGCTTACCGGATGAGGTCCAGTGAGAGCCTCCGGATCCAATCCCTTCTTCAAAGCTCTGTGCCTCAACTGTTGCCTTTGCCTTTCCTTCAATTCTTTCAGCTGCAAAAAGGACATTTCAGTTTTATTATTTACATTTCATGTTCATAAACTTACGTCATATTCTTGTCTCTTCATCCTCTCCTCCAAATCGTATTTCTCTGTTTCCAGCTTTACTATAATATCCCAAAGCTCCGTCGCTTTCTCTTTCAGTTTATCAATTGCTAAGCCATCCAAAGCTAGCGGCTTGATTCGAATGGACAGTGCGATCTTCTTTTCTTCTTCAAGTTGCTCTTTGGTTTTGGTTCTTTCCATTTCCGCATCAGTCAAACTTGCCTGGAAATATATTAATCGTCTATTTAGGGCCTATGGATAGTTTAATATTAACTAACCGCCAAAGCCTTCTTCCTTATAACAAAGTTGGTAGTTTTATTCTTATGTTGCTCCTTGAGAGCGGCCATCATAGCTTGCCGCTTCTTCTCAGCATCGATCAGTCGCTGCTTCTTATCTTCAGCATCCTTAATTTTTTTCTCTTCAATTTCTTTTACCCTACGCTCTTCCTCTTGTTTTTTCCGTTCAGCTGTTGCTTTCTCTTCATCAGCTCGGGCAATTTTGCGTTTGGCTTGTTTCTCTTTTAGTCTACATTACAAATCAATATATCGTTGTTGTTGAAGAAACATCAATTACGGTAGTAAAGCTTTCCAGGTTTATAGGAAGATTGGTTTTGATTGAAATTATTTTTTGAGCAAATTGTCAGCAGGGTGGAGTTTTATGTCTATTAAGTGATACTTGGTATATACCTACAGAGTGTTGCTGTTTTTGAGGCAGTTCTAGTTATGATTTTTGCTTCAAAATTGGGGTGGCATTAATACATTTTCAGGGAAATAAAATGAAATGGAACTCGTGAGATCTCAATTAGTGTGCGATTTTTAATCCCGAGTTCTATTGATAATCATTTAGAATTAAGGTATGTTTTGTTCGATTTACTGTTTTTTGCTTCGAAGATTAATACTTCTGTATGCGAAAGTCGCATTTGGTCATACATTTTGTTTCTATTACATAATTACAATCACCTTTTCTGATCTAGGCGAACTTTCATATAAAAGGGCATGAATGAATTACATAATTACAACCACAAAGGGATATTTTGGAACATTTTCTCGTTTAAAACCTTTACCTTTGAGCGTTAATATTAACGTTAATACGAGTGAATTAATAATGGCAGCTTTCCAAAATACTTTCCGAAACTCGCAAGCTTAAATTATTAAGTAGTAAGGACTTTCCAAGGTTATCATTATTTGAAATTTACGCAAAAAGATACTGAATATCGGGGAATAATGCGAGTTTCTCAATAAATTGCAGCCCAAATAATGTGTTTTTACTCACTTTTTTAGCTCTACTTGTTCTTTGACGCGAACCAATCTCCATTCTGCAATGTACTCTCGCAGTTGCTCATCTAGCTCAGATCTTTTCTGTTCCTGTTTCTTGATGAACTCTGGATCTCCAGTATCTCCTCTTGAAATTGAATGAAAATGTCAGTAGTTTCATAGGGAGACGAGCTTATTTGGAAATTATATCCGAGTTTATTTTATCATTTGATATAATTTTAAAGGGCTTAGTAAATTCAGATTAAAATTATATACTTACTCCTCTTCCTCCATATTATTCTTCGGTTAAAGAAACGAAAAAACTGCGTAGGCAAGATGTTACACGTAGAAAAGATTGATCTGAACTAATTAGATGCCAATAGGTTTAATTAGAAATAAACTAATTTATTATTCAACGTCTAAGAAATTTGGACAGGAGACAGATTGGGCTTATTTTTAGCTTCTGGGGCACAAATGCCCAATGAAATAGTTTAATCACCAATCGAACAGCGGAATGAGTAGTGGCCTTAATTAATTTTAGACAGGTATGTTGGCGTAGTTTTTGGACTTTTGTTACATGGTTTTTTGGGATGCGTATTAGTCGATTGAATTGTCTTGAATCTTCTTGATTCTTGAAATTTGAACTTAAACTGTGAAAAATACTTATATTTTTCTATTTTAATTATCAGTACCTGCGTAACTGATTTTTAATACTAATTCTAGTTATTAATTTCTTTCTTTTTTGGGAGCTGCATTGCATTTCGCTTTAATTTTTAACTWAGTTAAATTTTATACCGTATATTTTTTATTCAAMAATTAGATAGGMTCCCATTGAAATCGAATAATAAGTCCAGCAAAGRTTGTTAAAATTTAAGAATATTTTTAGGAAAACTGAAATTTCTTTGAGTTAGTTAGATTTATTATCGGGATCGATTTCAARRMGMCGAGGTCTTTTTKAAATAATTGTATTCGCATTACGTTTAAATGAAAATTTCGGTGTATTKGYTTACAATGAAACTTGCCGGCACTCTCTAAACAATAGCAACAAAAATGTAGAAAAAAATTCCTGAAAGGATAAACCGGTTTTTTTCGTGGCTACCTGTGCTTAGTTATCCKGCAATTTTAGCGAGTATCGGACGGTTTGAGGAAATGTGATCAATTTTATTATATTTTGTCGTTACGTTTTTTTATGGAAAAGTTATCGGTTTAGTGGCGCWATGTGATGGTTTAGTGGATACTCCCATCTGTTGCTCATTTACCTGGAATAGGTAAGTCTTAAMCAGTTTTCTAAACTTTAAAATTTGTGTAGACATCAAGAAATTGTAGGTACAGAATTTGCTAAACACTCCAGTATTTTGTCTGTTATATCGTGTGTTCACGTAATTTTTAGCAATATATTCTAATATTTATTAAATGCTTTCAATTACAAACATACGGTGGATTTATTTTGTGGTTCGGTTACATATAAACCCGCGTATGCAAACATTTTTAATGTGTGTTTATCCTCGGATTGCAAATATGTGCCGGCTAAACAGAGGGAAAGTGTGCATAGTTATTTTCTGTGTAGGTATGGAAATCAATGCTTCTAAATTTTAATTGAGCTTCTGATAAAATCTAGCTTTTGAATAGATATTAGTATTTTTTATGCTAAATTAGTTTTGAAAATTACGTTGACAGCTTCTTCTTTTGTGATTTTATAGTTTGAACCTCTTGCCCTTTTAATATTTTAATAATTTGGTTTTAACATTGTTCCCTTTTCCAGGTTTTTAGGTACATTTTAGTAACTTTTGCTTTCTGTATTTTGCCTAATAAAATTACGAGCTTTAAGTTTACTCGAACAGGAACAATACAATTACGAGCAATATTTAAATCAAGAAATTAAATAAATTTTATTTAAAATGCKTACATCTTTTCTCGTGAAAAACTCATCAGAGGAAAAACTTTATATTTTTCTAATGTTATAAATAGTGAAGTATTATTTTTGTAGTACCTAGTGGAAAGCAATATTTGCTATGTACTTGCTGGATATTATGTCAACAATTTGCGGGAAAAAATGCTGATTTCCTTGGGTTATACTTCGCCTACTTTCTCCATCATCAGTGCCTTAATGAAAAYATAATAAATAGACGACGATTAAAACTAGCAAAACAAACACATACAGWTAGAAATAAAAAAAAATTWAKKAACTGATATATCATTTGAAGACGGRCAAAAAACTTTACATCAATATACAGGGTTGTTTTAAATAARTGCAGGAACGGACAACTRGAGMTTTTTCATGACGAAAGAAACACTTTTTTCTTCTCCGTACTTTCGTATACTCCGTACTCCGTACGTTTAAGATATACACGATGTCAAAAATTTWGTTCATTGGTAGTTTTCTTGCTATATATGCTAAGAACCGTTTGATTAGAGCACTAAGATTGTACACACATTACAACTATTAATAAGTATCTTAGTMAAATTTTTGTTTYTCTTCATAAAAAGCGATTTTTTTCGAAAACAATTAACTTTAGAGCAATTAACGAAGATTTTTGTGTAAAATTTATTGGGACTTCACTATTATCSGCGGAAGTCCAATTTTTTGKAGTGGCTGTCACAAGTCAGGGCAAAGAACCCAGTCCATACCTTAAAATCTCCACCACTGGCACGTTCAATGATTTCGAGTAGGGTGCGAATAAGTAGCCATTCAAAGGAATTATCTTTTTTCCTGTAGTTTAAAATTTGGTACAAATATTGGAAAATTTTTTTAATAAATTAAATTTTTGATGCCCGATACCCTGTACCTCGAAAACGAAACCGTGGAGAGAAAACTGAAAGAAAATATTTATTTCTCATGAAAAATCAGCAATTCTTCGTTGAGAAACTTTTCTATAAATAAAATAAAAATAAAACATGAATTAAATGGTTTTTTGTCGTAATAGGCGATTAACACATGGTCATTTGCTGTAAACAGTCTATGTAGTTGAGCTATCCTCATTAGATTGGATTGATAAGCGTAGTACATAGATTTCCTTTTGTGGTATGTTTTGCTTTCTTTATCCTCTGGTACATGATTGTAGCACGTCAAAGTTCAAAAGTGTTATTTTCTATTTTATAGCCCCTGATAATGACTCAAAATGTTCCAAACGCTGGCCCAAGACAAACTACCTATTTTTTGCAAACTGTTGACCCCAAAAACCCAACATTTTCGCAACACTATAAACATTAGGCTTTATTGAGGAATATAGGAACATGTTTTCAATTTTTTTATAGCATCCATGTTTAAAAAAGTTAATGGCGTTAAGTAGGGAAATCTGACCGACCACTTCGCGATATTTTATTCTACATCAACCCTTTCAAAACATTATGTGGTTTTCAGTTAAACCGACAAAATATCTCCTACTTAATGATAATAATTAAAAAATATAAACAAACAAACGTTTACCAATAAGCCTTTATTAATGTTCAAAACCTTACAAATAAGTAAACAATAACAAAAGTTTTAAATAAAACTCATATTAGACCGGGCACAATTACAAATATAACTTTATTTTTGAATACAATGGCATCAACATAATAAGTACCTAGGTGTTGTTGGAAATAATAATTATAAGTAACTTAACATTAAAATAGGACTGATGGAGTTATCTCCTAGCTAAGCTGATGTTATTATTATGATTACATTATATAACTTATTGAATTCCTGAAACAAAAAATCACATTTGAATGAAACAATAGCTCGAGGGTGAGCAGAGGAACTCGTTTATTTTCGCCTCGAACTCTTCGTACCTGGTAATACGACGAATTAATTATTCTTCCTCCTCTTCGTCTTCCTCTTCTTCCTCCTCCTCAATTTCCTCTTCCTCCTCTTCCTCTTCGGGTTCAGGTTCATAGACGGGTTCCTTGATGTCATCCTCCTCCACTACCTGTTTCTCCTCTTCACCCTCAGGAGATTCGGGGTCGCCGGTCTTTTTGCCTGGACGCTCACCGAACCATTTGGGCAGTCTTGCTGTTGGGGTACAAGAAAGGGCGTAATGTAGAATTCGTAATTGAAAAACTGGAAGAGAGGTGATAGAGGCTTATAAGGCTTAGGCTAATTTGGAATTTTGGAATGTTTTGCATCGATAACGCCAATTTGGATGATCAATTATGAATTATCTGAATAGTTTTCATAGTTCAGTTATTGGTAGCCTTATATGCCTTTTCTCGGTTGCAGGACATGAGCAGGCGATCAAGACTTTGCACCTTGGAATTGGAAATCAAAAGTAAGTTTTTGCAAATTAGTTAAGGAGTTTAGGGCATTCATTTCGGGAACAACATAAATAAAACAGACAACTGTCCTTTTAAAAATATGGGTCAGCAAAGGCTTCGTAATCGAGCTGCAGGGTGTGGAAGTTCCTGAAGAACTCTAAGGTTGTTTAAGCACCCTCCTGATTCTGAGAGATTTCAGGTTTCAAGCAATTTGTTGAATTTTGTTTCGTTAGTTGGTATTTTACATTTTAGTTAGCACATTTACGTTGGAGGTGCCAAAGATATTGAAGATATTGCAAAGAAATGAAGAGCAAAGCAAAAAGTGCATGTAGCGCAAAAGCAATATAATGTGCAAAATTAATTTACTTACTCTTTTGCCTGGAATCGAATTGACCAAACTTTTCTTTCCAGTTCTTTTCATTTGTTTCCTTAACAATGTCTTCATATCCCTGATAAACAAAATACAGGACATGTACTATAACTATATACAACGACTAATAGGGTAAATAAAAACATGCCATTGAGACTCACTCTTCGAAATAAACGTTTCTTCCCTTTTTAACCAATTGCTGTTAAGTTCTTCTAATTTTAACGCAGCAATGCCCTATGCGAAACCGTTTTAGAAGTTAAAAATAGAAGTTTTCCATTTGATTGTTTGTATTTTCAGTGGGGTTTCCAAGTGTGGAAAATGGTTCGATTAAAAAATGTAAAAAACTAGTGCTTCTTCAGCTTTTCGTGCACACACTTTTGTTTCATAAATGGTTACTCAAATAACGCGAAACTGAAAAATATGTCGGCTATAACAGAAAATCAATTAATTCGAGTCTGTACATTTGCGGAACTAATTAAGTAAGTGTGTAGGAGTTGAAGAGTTAATCGGTAAAGGGAACTAACCACGTAATAGTTATCGGAAGGCCCAACTGTACCTACAGTCAAAGCAAGGGTCTTGATAAATTTGATAAATTTAAGGCTACATGAAACATGTATTTATTTTATAGGTCTCTTATAGCCAAATATATCTATTATAATTTGAATATTAGATATAAATTTGCAGTGATTTGCAATCAGATGAACTAAATAATTAGTCCAGTCAGAATAGTCAGTCTCTTCAATAATGAAYCGAAAAGTTTCAGTRAATATTAMATTTTGGCATACAAAACACGCGTCTTTAAAATAAACTGCTCAACAAAATGAACGTTACACTGACAAATTTATCYTAAATTTGGAACTGGATAAACTCTGATTTCTTCAAGCGATTTGGTTTCTGTTCGAAGCGTTTTTTAGCCCCATTTATTTTCTGTTAGTCAATGTTTTAAAAAATAATTTTTYTTTWAAATTTACAGCTTACTCYATTTAATGAAAACACTAACGACATTAACWTTAATTTTTAAATAGCGCACCCAAATTTTCGCTTCACTTCTGAATTTTGCRTTAAAWTTACAATCGTCTTATRTCCATAGTCCAACCGTATCTTATGTAATGAGTATTTTGATAACGATTTTTTGAGATATAACAACTTTTTTCTTTGTTTGGCTTTTAGASAAAAAATGTGGTACGTTTTATTTACTTCACAGTTTCATTAGCGGCTCAGGTGCATTTAGCACAAATTAATGCARGGCTAAAAACGGGGGCGTAAGTASTGTGCARGAAAAAAATTATGGTTTTGATTGAAAAAAAATAGTTCAGTCAACTGAAATACTGAATTTTAATTAGTACGGAATACAAAGAGCTACTGAGCAACTGGAAACTTGAAGTTATATAAATGAGGTCAATTTATTCATTTAAAAAAATGAAAATAAAAAGGTGGGTTGCTGGTTCTATCTAATTTTGACATCGGTTCTTAGAAAGTGTCCATTGCAGGAGAGAGTTTCCGTAAAATTTGTTAAATTGTCAGTCAACAATACGAGCAAACAGTAGTACGGACAGTTATCGGTATCACATGGATAAATAAAAAGAAAACGTTGGTGTGCTATTTAAAAAGCCAAAGTTGAAGCTTCTAGCGCTTTTTTGAGCCACGTTTTATACTGGAAAAGTATTTGATCCTACAGAGATTACAAAATTAACCGTTTCGATGTAAAAACTATTTTTTACTGATGAATGATAAATAAAGCATTTATTTTAATCTTAATACGTTTTTAATGAAAAATGAAGTTGGGTTTTGACTCATCAGCTTGTAATTAGTTAYCGTTAGAAAAAAAWTGGCTTTCGATTAACACAAAAGATGGAACTAATTTCTATTGCAAACTAATTATTGCTTATTCACTTATAAGGAAGTTGTTAATATTTTATACTTAATTTGAAGCCTTCTATAAAAATGTATTTTTGAAGTTTAAAATATTTTACATGTACAAAGTGTTATAATTGAGATTTAATAAATCCCATCTTGAAAGGCTTCATTAATATTTAAATCCAGGAGATCCAGGATGTTGGAATCCAAGAGATAATTGACTTGCTTGCTACATTTGAATAACCCTTCATTACTTAATTCTTTCCTCACTGCTTAAATAATAAATAAGCACAATATTGATTATGTTTCCGTAAAATCGCAATTAATTATTTGAGCGAGAGGAATTAAAATGTGTATAATAAATCGTTGGTCACAATCAAGTAATTTTTTTATAGGGTGTTCTGATGAAAGTTATGCTTCGCTCATTTAATCTGTTTAAATAGATAAGCCAAATACTTACACCTTCGAAGAGCTTCTTTTTGTCTCCATATGATCGTGTGTCCACACGACGTTCATATTTGGAGGCTACTTGAATTTTAGGCTGTAAATATGAGCAGGTTGTAAATACAGTTGAAATTTTCTTTAAAAAATCTGGTTACTCACTGGGTATTTTCCGGTAAGGGCTTCAGGGTCGAGACCCTTCTTCAAGGCTTTGTGTCTCAGCTGTTGCTTCTGCCTTTCTTTCAATTCTTTAAGCTGCAGACAAGTAAATTTTTAATCGAAATGAATAAACTGGATATTTTAAGCTTACATCATAGTCCTGACGTTTCTGCCTTTCTTCCAAGTCGTATTTCTCAGTTTCTAGTTTAACGATGGCTTGCCATAATTCAGCGGCCTTCTCTCTGAGTTTTTCCACACCCAATCCGTCGATGCTCAAAGGCTTAATGCGAATGGAAAGTGAGATCTTCTTTTCTTCCTCCAGTTGTTCCTTTGTCTTATTCCTCTCAATTTGAGCGGGGGAAAGGTTAGCAGCCTGAAAAGCAAACAGCCCGTGAAATCAAATAGACATTTTTTTGCAAAGGCGATTTAGAAACAATCGACTCAAGCAGGCTTTAACATGTAGCCTACTTATGTTTGGAAAGGACCTGAAAATATTTTTTTAAACAGAGTTATCTCGCCCTTAGTCCGTTTAGGCCCTCGACGGGCATTCCATTATGGCCAGGAAAAGTTATTGACCATTGGAGTATTTCCAGACTAATGATTATAAAGATTTTGGTAGATTTATTCATATTTTTTGCTAGGTTCATTTAAAATCTTATTAGTTCTCGATTGACGTCAACTGCCACTTCGTTTTTCTTTATAGGACCATTAAATTTGACGAAACTTCTGACGAGACTGCCCGTCATTAATAAGATATGGGAAAAACATCGCTTCTTTTTATAGAGCAACCCTGTCAGAAAATATGTATCCTTTTACTGCGATGAGTCTGGAATATGTTGTTAAACAACATCGGAACTTAACAAGAGTCTATTAATAGATTCGTAATGAAAGATTAATACGGAAGTAATTAAATAAATTGGGGAATTTTCCTTCCAAGTCTGCACCGAACATATTTGAGGTGCTTTGGTTTGAAAGAAAGTTGTTTATGAGTAAAGCGTGAAATAAATTTGAAGAAAGCACGTGGTTTGAACTCGAAATTAGTATAATTTCGAGCAATAATCGGATTGTGCTAACTTGATAATAAAAGATAATATTTGGGAAGACATTAATTGAGTACGTTCTATACATCTTATTTAAGCATTTCAATACTTCACATCATTACGGCAAAAATCCGGCAATAAAAAGCGACGTTCGTTACTGAAACCTTCTGGCTTAAGCGGATTAGATTCTTTATCTAAAACATTAATTGCGCTTTGTATAACAAATATTGATATTTGAACTGATGCTGATTCACTGGATTTAACATGGAAGAGATAAACGTGTGTTTTTAACAGCTAATTGGGCAGCTTTCAGAAAAAAACATTTTAAGCATGTTTTTGAAACTCACGTTGGGGTCTTTCTTGGTAACGGTAAAGTTGGGTCCCTTTTTGTTGGCAGCATTCATTGCTTGCAACATTGCTTGGCGTTTCTTTTCAGCCTCCTCAAGACGCAGCCTCTTCTCCTCAATATCTAAAAAAAATATTCCAATAGATTATTTACATTTTTTTATTATATTTATTTTGATTTTTTGCATCATAATCATCATCATCATTGTGAAACTAACTAACGGCATTGTTTTTTGTTCTGTTGCTATTGATTCTTACTTGGTCTGAATTTAAACAACTTATTCACCTTGAAATCAGAAACTCGCATGGTCGTAAATACGAATAAGTCTTTATGGATAAAAAACAACAATTTAATTGATTAATAAAAAAAATTGATTAATAAAAATATTATAAATATCACTAAAACTATCGCCTTTCTGTAGACTTTGTCTGAATTTCATATGATATATAAGCCAACTTACCCTTTTGTTTCTTCTCTTCAATTTCACGTTGACGACGCTCTTCCTCTTGCTTCTTGCGTTCAGCCAATTTCTTTTCTTCTTCGGCACGGGTGACCTTCCTCTTGGCTTGCTTCTCCTTTAGCCTTTACATAATTTTGAATTATAAACGTTTAGTATTTTTTTTACCAAAAATATTTTACCTCTTGAGCTCGTCTTCCTCCTTGGCGCGCTGTTTGCGCCATTCCTGGATGTACTCGCGGAGTTGCTCATCTAAGTCAGATCTTTTCTGGTCCTGCTTCTTGATGAATTCTGGATCGCCGGATGGTTGTTCTCTAACAAGGAGAAATAATTATTTAGCAGGTTTGAACCGAGTAAGATTAAAACCAGCAGGAAAAGCGCCTTCTGTTGCACACGAATGCACCTCAAAAATGTTTTCGTTTGTTGTAAACCTGAAGTTTTTCAATTTGCGGAGTTTTGTGAAAAAATCATAATTTTTATATTGTCGCAAGGAAATGGGTTTCGATGCTTTTTCCAGTTATTTTGCCTAGTTTGCGGATTTAGCATGACTTTATTAAACGAAGATTTAATAACATAAAAACCGACCTAATCATAATTTAAAAAATGTGGAATGACTCACAATTTTCATGAACATTTTTAATTGTATGGTGAGCAATGATTGAATTTACTAATCACAGATCGAGACATCAGATGTTTGATATCGTACTTTTTTAATTCTATGACTATTCTTTTTTGTATAAATTTATATTTAGCGATTTTCTAGTAAATTAAATTTGGAAATATAACTTGAATTTTTCGCCCAACGATTTACATTCATATTTTTACAACTGAGTTAGCATTTCGCTTTCGACAATTATACAATTAAATTTACAATTTGTAATAAATGCCTTTGGAGCAACGGGCCTTTCTTTAATTAGCCGTATTAAATCGCTGCTTTGCTTTGTTATTTTCCTACACATTCAAATTATTAGAATAAAAGCAATTTTTTTTGCTCACTTGGATAATTGTTTTATTTTATATCGCGATTTGGTTAAATTATTCAAAAATTGCAAATTCTTACTATGAAAACAATAAATATTAATAACTGGAGGATTGCTTGGTTTTACTGGTAAATCAGTCGCTGTTACTTTACTTTATTTCATGGAAAAAAATTAGCTTTTTTGAAAAACTACCTTACCTTTCAGTTCGCCAAGAAATGCCTTATATTTTGAATAAAATAACACAGGCATTAATAAAGTAAAGATCGAAATTATAGAGCGTATTTTGAATGGCGCGATGCCAAGGATCAACTTTTTATTTTTGAAGGATGTTTGAAAAATCCATTACTTTTGCAGACAAATACTTAATTACGGCGAATATTTAATTAGTTCAAAAAATATATTTATTTTACTCAGCAGTGAAAACGTTTCTAATAAGAACAGATTTCCAGAATAAAAAGGATAATTTCGCCTTCAACTGGTTGTGGATAAGTTATGCTTTCGCTATTTTGGGACAGTGTTTGCCGTCTGAAGGCTAAATTTATTAAATCATGAATACTGAAACGGCCATATCTTTATCTCAACAAACTAATTGGATTATTTTTTTGCGAATGCTATAAAGGTTGTTTAAAATTTCAATCCGGCATAGTTTTCTGAATATATTTCTGCTGCTATTCGGTAAACTAATTTTCTTCTCTAATTCACACCTCCCTCATATAACAATATTCTAGTGAAATATAGTTACTACAAAGTTTCAATTACAACCCCGGCAAACTTCGTTTTTAACAGCTAAAAATTGAAGTATATATCGAGTTCTGTACGGATAATAGAAAAAAATTGCGTCAGTAATTAACACTCTCGGTGTTGCTTTTGTTTACCCATTTTGTCATCCAAAGTTATAATTAGGTGCAGCTCAGGTCAGATCCTGAACATAGATATTTTCAAAAGCAGTTATTTTTAAAACTACATCTGATGCTCGATTTTGTTATTTTTGTATCTATAAATGTTCAAGATATTTTTATCTGTGCTACAGCTGACTAATAAATTAGACAGGCGTTTTTTACATTTCACTCTATTATTGCCCCTGAAACTGTGCAGACAATAATAATAAATTGCAGTTTGTTGCACATTTAATTAAAATCCCATATATTTATTTAAACAGTTCACATAATGATCGCCTATATTTAGCCGCAGCTCTGATCTCCTGAAACCCTCTTCAAGTCAAATAACAAATGATATGAGACTTTTTCGAGAAGAACCCGCTCATAAATCATAGTTATAGCATCTAAAGAAATTTTCTGAATTTTTCTTGCCTCATTGTCCTAAAAGACAATTTGTGCCAGATGGCCAGAAGGCTATAGTCATTTTTCATATAAGCTTATTTTCCCCGTCCTATTTGAGATATGATATAGCACCATCGATTCAAGTTTTTCGCCCTTCACCAGAAGAAATCTGCCAGTTCATTGTCGAGTTTTCATTAAAAAAATATTATATAGTGAATTACCTCTTTTATTTTGAATCTTATGTCTTAAATATTTTAATAAAATCTCAGATGTATTTAAAAAGAAAGTGGGGATTCTGATTCTTTAAATACTGAAAGAACGTAATTAAATTCGCAACTAAGTTGTAAACCACTTGGTTGTGCATTCCAATTTTTCCAGAGTTTGCTGTTTTATAGAGAACAGAATTCGCGATTAAAATTTTGCTAATTTAAATTAATTTTATCATTCTTAGCTAAGATCGCTGATCGGTATAAATGTGTGCACAACTCTATCTAGATTATTCGTAATAATTTACTTGTGTTCGCTCATTTCTTTTGCGGGTTTGACTAGATGATTAATAAAGCACAATTATTTAATCAGACTTTTTTCAAACTTTTAATTTTTGTCGGCTCTTACCCAGCGGGGAATAAAGTTGAAAATATCTCACTGGTTAGAGTGTAAATTAAGACAATTGTGGTGTTACAGGATAGTAGACATACGATCGTGTACTTTGTTCGGTCATATTTTTGTATGATATTTTATATTTACATACAAGTGTTTGGCAAGGTTTTACGCAACGTCACACTACTAAAAAAAATAAAAAAAATATTGATGAAACATTAATCTACCATAAACTGCTATCGCTTAGTCAGTGTATTTCCAATTAAATTGAGACCAGAATTGTTACTTTTGTATTGAGAAGTACAAATCAAAAAATATTATTTTTGTATAACATTGTTTATATAACATATATTTACAAGAATCTATGAAAATTTCAAACTTTTAATGTTTCATAGTAATCAATAATTAATATAATAATAGAAATAGTAATAGTAGAAAAACTATTGGGAAACATTTATGTAGATGGCTTTAATGAAGAAATAATGTTAAATTTAAATAACAAATCGCAATTAGCCAAGCAGCTAGATGAATTATATACGCAACTTTTCAAACCATGAAAGTCAACAAATCTAGGTAAATCTTCAAACAAATAAGAAGTTGTTATTAAAAAAGTAGGTACTTTAATATTCAAAATGCTTCACACTGAAGTTGGAAAGAATCCATTACAAATAGCATAAGAATCACAAACTCACAAGAAGCAAAGCTGGAAGTCCTAAAAGCTTGTCATTGTAGCGCAATAATTTCCACAATTCATAAAGGTTTTTGTCCTCTAATATTTAACAGGACGGTTAGGAGCCTTCATGTTAACCAAAAAAATATCTCTGCCTGTCTGCCTTCTCTGCACCTTTTGATTGAAACATTACTCCATGTAATTGCAAGCAGGCCAGAACATGGCACAGAGAAAGCAACAGGGAAAAATCGGTAGACTGTTAGAAAAGTCACTTCAGTAAAAATCTCCGTAAACTGAAAACAGCAAAAATTCTCAAAAAACGCACAAAAATGAACCAGATTAGGGACATGGTTTGGCAAAAATCTAAAAAAAATCGAAGCATTCTCTATAGGGAACTTACTCGACTTTGGTAGTAGTGGTGGTGGTCCTATGGGGTACACGTCACAAGGGGGCAACGGGAATGCACGAAAAAGGAGAAAAATCAAAATGAAAAAATGGACTATATACAAAAAAAATAAGTGAAGTGTTTTTGTGTACTTTTGGATTTTTTCCATTTTCTACTCGTAGTTGAGTTTAGTTGTGTTTGTTTATACGTTTAGTCGCTTGTTTAGAAGACTTTTATTTGGAAAAACATTAAGTATCGGATTTTTCCAATTCAATGGGATGATAAATATTATTGGCAAAAGGTTTTCTAAATTAAATTTTTAGTTTTATTATTTTTGGAAATTATGTGTGTTGTGCAAAATATTTTGCATCAGTTTTACTACATTTGATATCCAATAATTATGATAAAGGAAATAATAAGTTTTAAAATAATAAGTTGGTGATACAATTATATTTTGATCAGGTGTTTTTGGTTAATTTTGAAGGAATTTTGGAAGAAATCACCTTTAATCAGACGTTCAAAGTTTATGTTTTGAATCAAAAAATTGCTCTAAAAATCGGTTATGGTTAACAATCTTGGTTACATTAATTAAAACTTTTTAAGTGATTTATATGAGAAACTAGCTCCAGGAACACCAATATTTAAATATTTTGAGTCATGCACTAATGTTAGTAATGGTAAATAACTATCTTTTGGTATATGAAATTTTGTATTTAATTTAAACTTAAATAAAATAATTTGCTTTGTAATCGGCAAATTAATAAACTGATTGTTGTTTATACCAATTTACTGAAAAAATTATTTCTCAATTAGTGATAACATAAAAAAAATGAAAAAAGTTAACATTGTGTTAAAACATGTAGGTACAGGTGAGTTATAGTTGATTAGGTATAAAAAGAGCACTCGGTGTAGTTTAGAACAAAAGTGTGAGTGAAACAAAACATTGATTACATTGTTTATGTAAAAAAAGTTTTAATTTTGTAAGTATTTTGGTTGTGTGGGTTTGTTATCACAGAAAAAGAAACACTGATGTTGGATGGTGGGTTGCACACTAGCCTACAGTGGGGTGGGAAACACATACGGTCTGCCTACAGTACTTTTCTACACTATACGTTCTAGAGATACAGGGGGTGATGTAGAAATAGTTTCTGTACAGGGGGAACGTAAAAAACTTACGTTTTTCTGTAAAGAGAAAATATTAAAGTATTACTATGAAGAGTTAACAGTATAATGGTTTGCTTTGGTTCATGGATGTATCTATGCCAATTGGTAATTGAAAATTTCGGTTAAACTAACTAAATGCTTCATTGTGATATTATTCAATATTGCTGATGAAGCAGTTAGAAAAGTGATGTGCCAATATTACTGTTGTTGTGGCGAAAACTGGAAGTATAATTTCGAGTAACATCTTTTTTGGTTTTTCCTTTTTTTCTACTTACGTCTCAATGACTTCCTCTTCCTCCTCCTCTTCTTCGCTGTAAAGAAAGAATAAATGATAGAATTATCTTGTGGTTCTACTCAATTTAGTGTTTAAATTTTCATTTGTGAGTAAGATATGGTACTTACGAGTAAACTTCTTCGTCGTCGGACATGACTGAAGGGGATCAAAACCTCTGGAAAAAAATTGAAGATTTAATTCGAATTTTATACCGCCGAATAACTAAGTATCTAGTTACTTATACTATAATTAATAAAATGACGATCAATTCAACTCATTGCGTTTTGTGGAGGTTCAGCTGATTCCCTTTACATAATATTTAAGGAAAGCCAATCCTGAAAGATGAAATTCAAACCTCCTCGACTCGGACTGTATTTGGCAACATCTATAGAGCTTTCAGAATATTTCAGTTATTTTCAGAACCGCTGAGCAGCAAGCTGTTTTGTGTTCTAAAAATAACGGACGTTTAACATAAACTGCTGACGACTATTTTGTAGCCAGTCGACGAAACTAGAATGAAGTTGTAAATGGCAATCTATGTCTATTTGCGAGCATGCTCTTGATTTGTGAACCTGCCGATCGAGATTAGAAACAGTAGAAGTTTGATACAAAAAATACACTAGGCGCTCTATCCTCAAATTATGTCGGCACTATTTTGAGCATTTTGGTTGAAATGTGAACATTTTTCATGTGGTTTATAAGGGTTCTTATATATTTTGGAAATATCTTCGTTATTTGATTATTTTACAGTTTTTACTAGTTCAATCAGCCCGGAAAAACTGCTTCAATTTCAATACCTTGTGAAACAGTGTATGAAAGCTGCCGTTGTTATAAATAGGTATGCAAGTTGCAAGAGGGAATTTAAAGTCGCTTGAGATATTTGCCACTTTTTGTTAGAATATTTTTTTTATTAGAGTTTCCCCTCACTTCCAATGTTCAGAGACAAAGGAAAAGCCAAACATAGTATGTAAATATTTAAAAAAATCAAAATGTCGCTTTAAAGTGTCCCATGTGTAATTAACTATGAATAAAACTGAGTTTAAGTCTTTAAACTGAAAATATGAACATGCCATTCTCATTCACACATTTGATATTATATTAGTATAAGCACGACAAATATGTTGTACTTTTGTAAAGATTTTGTATTCTTGCTCATGTATTCAGATATACGTAAACAATAGACGGCATTTGCTATTCTTTAAACGTTTTAAAATAACTCTGTTTTTCAAAAAAAATTTTAATCGATTCTAGCATAATAATCATTTGAAAATATGGGTAGAAATATGAACTATAAATAAAGAAGAAACAATGAATCTCAAATAGCAAGTTTTGCTAATCTAAGAAGAAACTTTTCAAATGTGTGGAACTTTAAAACAAATGAAAATGCAGCAAGAATAGTTTGTAACCTTCAGCATCTTGCCAATATATATATTTATAAAATATAAGTTTTTATCGAATTGTTGCGATGATTTCATTTGATTTTTAGAGCACTTAGGGTAGCAAACAATATGGTTTTGTAAATATTTTTAAAAGTTGACAAATTCAATTGCTGATTAATGACTATCTAATATTGCCAATCGAAATGCTTCAGTAACAGTGAGACTGCATGAAATGAAGACTCAAGTGTGAATGAAAAAGTTAAACGTTTTAAACTGAAAATATAAACATGCAATTTTCTTTCAAATATTTTACGTTCTATTTATCCAATCACAATAAAAATATAATATTTAAGCGGTATGGTTTTGTGAGTGTATTTATAGTTTAGTATAGTTAGTCATTTATAAATTTCAAAGCGAAATGCTGCATCATAATTTCTTGTATGAAAAACATACTCCATTGCAAAGTTTAGTATTTTCAGATAACATTAAATTTATACCAGTAAAGGCTTGTATACAAATAATATCAGATTCGATTCCAATTAGTTCGGCTGTAGAGAACATTCTAGTGCTTATTATTTTATTTAATTTTAATAACCGGATACGGTTCCAGCCTCCGGATACCTGTTTGAAATACTTCATACAGTTGGGTAATTGCTTTTCTGTCAGACTATTTAATGAAGGCTTTTCAACTCAATGTTTTCATGTTGTAACTGCCGGCAGGATATTATTAATAGTTCCAAAGCGGAATTGCACAATTGAAAAACAATTTAATAAAACTTTGGTTTCCTATGCAGTCCTGATATTTTGCGGAACGGACTAAGAAACCGACAATCGACAAATGTTGCTTGCCAGGCTGAAATTGAACTTTCATAGTTTTCCCTTTAAGATCTTTTTATTTCAATTAGCTCAGAACGGATAAAATGGTACTAAATTGCGCTCCTAATAGTCACTTCCCATGTACAAATTTTTAATTTCTTTAGAGTCGGGTTTTTTAATTTCTTGTTTCGAGTGTAGTCTGAATTGATGAAAAACTGGATATAATCTAGATAGAACAATATTCTCTCAACAAATATTATTGAAATTTAAGATAAATTGTGAGAAAAAGTGATTTTTCCTAATTGAGTGGAGTGGAAAATCATAGTGTCACATTGTAAGTATCTATTCGATAATTTGCGGGTCATAAATATTCAGATAAACCACAATAGTTTGAATGAAACCGCAGAAAATCTTCCCAGGCGGTTTTATTACTATTTTATTCCACAATTTTTTAGTAACTAGTTAAATTTAAGGCGTCTGAAATTTAAACGGCGAACTTAATTCAACTGCCGAGCTTTTCAGTTTAAGCTCTTTCAGAGTGAAATTTTCCTGGTTGGAAAATGGAAAATTTTATTGCTTTGGATTAAGCTTTCAAAATTTATGAAATCCTGATAGGCGGCGGCACAAACTGAGGAAGGCGGACAACCTGCCCATGTTAAAAATAAAGATACTAAGATAATAAAGATATATTTCTTTAATAAAGATATTCAAGAAGATTATTTTATTAAACGTTAAAAAACCTATTTGTAATTACAGAATGTATCAATGGAGCTTTAATTAATGGATTTATGAAGGTACAATATTTTTAATACAAAAGTCTGCTAAGCTGCGAAACGTAATTTTAATCTTGCATGAAAGGTCCCAAAGGTTGAAAAATCTGTATTAAATATGTAGGTTGTATGTTGTTCGCAATTCTTGTAAATATTTGAAAACATGAACAGAAGTTGCAATAGTTGCGGGAAAAGCATTTAGCTCAACTATCACTTTTATGCTTTTTAAAATATCCAACAAAATAATGATCTGGATATGTAAATTTATAATAGATATTTGCAGGATAGACTGAGATTTAATATTTGCAGGATAGATTAAAAATTTGTATGTGAAAACCGGTTTTGCTTCAAACCTTGCTACAGATTTCAGTGGGACCCATTATGTTTCATCCGATCAAGCATTTTTCATAAAATGGAATGTTTAATGTTCCATGTGTTCGTTAAAGTGATCTAAAATTCCTAATCACTCGGACTAGCTACTATCTTTACACTGGGAGAGTTTTCAGTTGCTCAAGCAGTGAAGGTTACTCCAAGTGCAACGCAATACCCTTAAAGGATCCCTCAAAGGGAATTCCCAAAGGGTTAGAAAAGTAGCAGGAAACTATAACAGTGAAACAGTAAACTGCGGCACTATTTTCCCTGCTTCTATCGATTCAAAGCGTTGGCATAAACGCACCCCCGACATGTTAGGGTTGACTTCAAAACGTGAATTTATATCGTTAAACAAGCTCGACTCAGTGATTGAGAAAACAATTTTATAATACAATAGTATAACAATCCTGAACAATATTCTACGCATCTTGAAGGGTAATAAATGCCTTATGCAAGTGAAGAATCAACATTCTTACACCTTCAATCATAAAAATGCTTAAAGTTGCGCAGCAGTATAGATGGTTAATTAGTTCGGGCTGAACAAGGCAAAAAATTGGGTCTAAATCATAAAATAACTGCAATTAAACCAATTAAAGCAAGTTTTTATAAGAAGACCGTAAAATTCTATGATTTCTGAAAATTACAACTGAAACCTAAAGCCCATAGAAAATAGTTAAGTGAAACAAGATCGGTTGATATTTGGGGCGTTTCTAATTTTACTTTATTTTTTTAGCAAATTTGCTTTATGTTGCGATATTCCTATAAGTAGCGAATTACTCAGAAGGTTGTTGAAACGCTGATTAGAAACACATAAACTCTGCCTTACTCGCTTTGGATGATTTTTCACCTTCCCACACTGCCACCCTACTGGAAAACTCACAAGTCAATTGAATCGAAATTTTGATTAACAAAGTTTAGAAAATTAAATAAGTTTGTATCGAGAACGTCAACCAATTAACTTGATTTATTAAAAGTTTGTACATTTTTGCCTCTTGAAGTTTAATTAGAAATTCCATCCATAAACTCTCCTGCTCAAAGAGTTAACTTTTCTGTACCCAATATTTTATAATTATTTCTGATCATGGAAACTGTACATTAATATGTACGACAAGCAGCCGAATAATTATTCAATCACTGTTCGGGTCGGGCTTAAATTCGAACCCCATTATAGGGCCAATTTAAATCCATCCCCTTTGTTCAGAAATGCCTCGTTTATTTCCGCACGACCCTTATGCAGGAGGGGCAAACTTGTTTCGTCATCCCAAACAGGAAAGCAGAAAATAGATGTAAGTCTCATGACCTAAATTGGGTTTTCATGGGCTGAAAGGGCACTTGTGGACAATGATATATGAATATCCAAGTGTCCTTAATTAATTGGGTTCATTTCAATTAGCCAGACGTGGTTTAATTTGATTTTCAACATGACCTGTTAAAGAGAGCCTTGCCTTCAGGAAACCCTCGCTAAGTAGATAATGAGATGGAAATGTAAATATCTGTTAAAAAGATTAAAATGTAATTATATTTTGAATTATATGGTGTGGTGTTGGAACATTTTATAGAGGAAGAAAAGCTGCTGTTGGAAAGTAAATCAGACAAATAGTTTAATCTATCTAATTTATCATGGGGATTTATCAGCACTCTCGGCGCGTTTTCCAACCTCCAACCAAGAAATTGTGAACGTGGAAAAATTGCAAAATATATTCCGCATAAAAAGCTTAATTTTTGAAAGCAGCGAAAGGTGCAGATAAGCAAGCATCTGTTTAATTAGTTTAATATGTTTGTAAATTAATAATCGTTTTTTCCGGAATAATATTTGTTTGCTTACTTGAGAACCATCCCTTCAAATTGCGCCTATGTATGAAAACAATTATATATTTTATAAGGTTATATTGTTGTCATAATATGCAATATTTAATGCAAAAAATAAATAAAAAGTGATTTAAATACAGTATGAAAAACAGATCATGTAGTGTTCGATAGCACACAATTAAGAAAATTATAATTTGTTGAGACGTCAGAGTTTTCATTTTCATTAACAAATTAATTTTGATTAAATTTTGTAATGTAATTAATATTTACAAATTAAATTTGCTGTAAAACCTTCCCAGCTTCAACTTCGTCGATTTGATGTTGATATTTGAATTAATCGGAAATTAAATTATTGAGTTTATCAGCTTCAATTTATATCTTACAGAAATCTACCAGCTATTTAAAACTTCTCGCCTTCAATACAAAAAAATTGTAATTAAATTTCTAATATACACAAGAAGTTTGGTTGGTCTTTCAAATTAAAAAAAATATTTAGCTTCAAATTGCATTTAATTATAATGATATGTGTGTGTTTTATCTCAGAATTTACTTGCTCACTGTAGCCAATTTTCACAACTGGACCAAAAATTATTCTAATTTTAAATAAATAAAAAGATTTACGTGTTTGGTGACACCATACTAAATATATTTAAATTAATAAGTTTTTACATATTAATAACACTCAATACTGAAATATATTATTTCCATGTTATGTTCAAACAACAAGCGTGTAAATTATGCCATCAAGAGGCAAAGAGTCCTATTGTTTGTTTTAATAAATTCTAGTTTGCTTATTTTATTTCGATACTATCTACAGGAAATACACTTAGAAGATGAAACTGAGCCGTTATTGATATTATTTTGCCATGCAAATTTTAAACCTGGAAAATTTTAACTGCTTAATTAGACGCCCTACTATGCACGGTAACGTTCATCGTTATTTCATTTACTAGAATAATTCCTCGCTGATTTAAACATAATGTATATTCAGTAGATAAATACCTTAAGCCTGAAATTTTAAAAGATATATTATTACTAAATAAAATTAACATCGCTAGAACAAGGAAAAATTGCCGATTTTTTTTAAATTTTCACGGTTTCTTATAGAGTCAAATATAAATGTTCTTTCTCAAGAATTTATGATTTCCTGCTGAAAGACGCTTCCGAATTTTGCCCCTCCTGCAAAACGAACATGAGCTCTATAACTCCACTCTCAACAACCAACTTCAACCGTAAAAACTCCCTCAAATTTCTGTTTCCTTTATATTGGAGCCTCTTTTGGCACCCTTAGCTGCACTTCTGAGCTATACACGGTCCTTTGAGTACGAAATGCTACGTTTCCAGGCTGTTGTAATGAAAGCAGGCGATCTTGCCATTTCTGATATTCTGATAGCACTTGTGCCGTTCCTCCACCTTGTCCTCAAACTTGAGGCTCTATACAATTTCGAACTTCCCTCAAAATATTAAACGCGACCCCAATATAAAGGGTTACACCCCACTCTTGCTAGTTTCCTGATAAATGTAGCTGAGCAGCGCTGCTTGACTCTAAGGCATAGCGCGCTGGATTGACAAAAGATCGCTGTTCTGGTATGATTTTCCAGGATAAAACTGGAGTAGATCAAATTTGACTCATTAATTTTTTAATGAAAAGGAAGGATTTTTGTACATGTTGTTCTCGTGCGCTCTACGAGCTAATAAGTGACTTTCAAAAGTACATTTCTCGGATTTGCTACTAATACTTTCCTTCATTTATTTCGATTTAGAAATTCGAGAAAGTTTCTTGTAGCTGTAGTAAGCTGGGTCTTGATAAAATTATATGCAATCCTTTGTTTCTAAAACTGAAAGAGAAATGGCAATATCAGGCCCGCATAAATGGAAAACTGTATGTGGGCAACGGAGAAATTATTTTCCTTTCACTGTTAAGGGTGAACGAAGATACAGTAAAGGGCTGTGCAACCCCGGAACTTGCTATGGGACATTGTTAGGCAAATTCACGAAAACATCGAGTAAAAGGAACACATAGAGTTTGGGGTGTTTCCAACGCTGCATGTAGATATTAGAGACTTTCTTTTCATTATTTATCTGTCGCTGACCCACATTTTTTAACTGACGCTCAAGTGGCGAAGCTTTAGTAATCCTCAGTGAGTTTTGCATTTTTTGCACATTTATTGCACTATTGGAAACCTGCCTGCAGTAAACTGAATTGTAGCTGACTAATCCAGGCTGGCGCTCTAACATTATGTGCCATTTATGTTCTCCTATTCCTAGAAGCTGAGTTAGAGCTATCTGAACTTTCGAGACCATTTATTAGACATACCGAAGGTTTGCTCTAAAATCGACTTTTTATTGGTAATTCGTTGTTGAAGGGTGTATGTGTTTTAAGCTATGAATTTTCAGTTGATTGACTGATTTCTTATAAATGTTCACAAAGTGATTCGAAATAATTGGGCCAGTTACAGGATTTTTGCAGTGTTTTAAATAGTGTTTCTATATGGTTAGGAAGATTTAGTTCTAATAATCAAACAGTGTAATTGTTGAGTAGAGCTGAATCAAAATCTATTTCATTAAAGAACGCGTGCATAACAATAATTTTACCCTTAGCTGGTGAGCCCTTACTATATATAAATAGTTGCTGGGCTCTAAGATCCTACAAAACATGGAGGAATCTTTATAGTATCAGGAAACCATAAATCTCCGGCAGAACTGAAGCTATGTAGCTCTATAATAGGGACGTACTGACTCTCTGAAGGAATATGGAGCAATTTCGGACAGCTCTATGAAAATATCAGGTAGTCGGAGAGCAGAAGTGCTGCAAACATTATAGAGCAATATTCGGCTCAGTTCTATAGCTTGCTTTGATATATCCAAACATGTCGCACATACGGCTGAGTATTTCGAACTTCGAATTTCAATGGTTGGTGAACACGTGAAAGGTTTGAAAATGAACGTCCAAACTTGACCCTAAGGTCAAAGTTTGCCAGGTAAGGTAAAATCTTGAAAACAGAGCGAACAGGATAGCATGGAGCAACCGTGAATATTGCGTGGGAAATAAAACCAGAGAAGCTGTTTAGCTATGTGAATGAATTATTAGCGCAATCATTCAAAAGCAGGCTACTGAAATAATCGACCTGCTAAAAATAATCCGGCTGTAGGCCGAGTATTACTTCATTTCCACATTTTTATGTGTAACCTGAAGTCAGAACGATGTTATAAATAACCGGGGATTTGCTTCGAAAATAGCTATCCAAATCACCGCAATTGTGAAACATCGTTTGACGTTAACCGTTTTAAGATGTGCGGATCTGTTTCGTAGATTTTACATCATTCCGAGGAATAGAGCATTTGAGCATGGATTTATCGACGAGCTAAAACCGTTTTTGCTTTACATGCCTTTCCCGGTTAGGGCCTCAAAATTGGGGAGAAGTTATCCAGTTCCTGGAAATGGACATTTATGGATGCTTAGAGCGTTAAGCAAGCTTCATACATATTTTTTTACGATTTTCAGCTGGCTATGCGTAACTTATTTTAAGTCAAAAACAGCCTATGCTTAAGATTTTCATACCTGTAGGTTAAGGACTACAGAGTTCAGGTTACAGTCAAATCATTAAAAACCGAATTTTTTTAAGTGTTAAATTTGGAAAGTAAATGACTACCAAGGTTACCCATATAAGGTTCCGTTTTTCACCTGAATGGTGATGTAGATCTAGAAATAACACAAAACACTGATAGACACAATAACAGTTAGAGTAGGATTGATTGAAATACAGCAGGAAAGTCAGACAAAACGCACACAAAAAAACTTACAAAGAACAAGGAAAAATATGGCGTATCCAGGAGCACCACTTAACTCAAGGAGCCCGCAGTGACTGCTAACGAAATTCCTGAAAACCCCACAGGAAAACGGACCTTAGCAGGAACGGCGCACGCAACTGAAATGGAAATCCTCCCACGGTTTCGAGTTATTTTGGAAATCGCAGATTTTTCGGGTGGCAGGGAGTTACGTTACTTATGCGAGAAACGATACGCGGTACATTTTTGGCCACAGATTTGACCTGTTTGGAATATCTCAACTGCTCTAAATTTTGTTTCAGGAATCGATGTGTTTATATTGTTTTTAAATATAACGCAGATTTCATCCTTAATATGCCTATAATATGTCATAGTCGGAGAACTACTAACTAAGTTACTGCAGCTAAAGTTAACTAAAATTATCAGCAAATAGCTAATATTCGGCGGAGTGTTTTTGGGAAAAAGTTTTCCAAATCCGGTTTGCTTAATTTATTTACACAGGGTGATCCGAAAATAAATTACGACCACCAACTTAATGCTGGTTTTCAAAATAGTGAAGTTTAACGGAACGAGAAAATATTTAAATTCCTTGATTTGATGGATATGGCGATAGAACTCATATCCAAATAGAAGCAGCTCAATTATTTAATAAAATACACCGAGACCGTCCCCTTATAAGGAGGTGATTAAAATAAAAGCTAAATTCAGAGAATTTGGTTATGTAAGCTTTTTATGAACTATTGAGATAAACTGGTTTAAAAATATAAGGTTTTTTTTGAAAAACGGGACAAAGATAACTTGAGTAATTAGAGAAAATACGAATTAATTATACTCGGCTTAGCCTCGGGCGTCAATTTTAAGCAGTGGCGGAACATCGACTTTCCTCGTCTCTTGTACCGTAATATACTGTTAAACTCTTTCTAGACGAAACTTTGCTAGTTTAAATGAGATTTTATGAATTTTTAAACATATGACACTTACTCCTGCAAAATCAACTAATTTTTAAAAATTTATTGCCTTATCCTCGATGATGGTAGCAAATCGAAACTTTGGCAATTCATGAAAGAGACTTTGCCTTTTACAATAAAATCCTTGAAAAAATTCTCGCTTAATTCTCACTGAAGATGCGAATTTTCAAACATAGAAGGACATTTTCACTCACGAGAAACTAACCAATTTGTGCAAGTTCCGTTAAAAAATCAGTGTGAAATTTCTGATGACGGTAGCGAATAGAAACTTTCAGGAAGTTTGAAGCGGATCTTGTACTCTCCAAAGAAACTTTCGGAACGTTTCTTGCTTAATTATTGCTTCAGAAACACATTTTTGAGACTTTTGTACCTAAAAAATTTTAAGAGCTTTAGTAAGCAAAAGGAAAAATGGTTCCGAAAATCCAAAACAAGATCCTTATCAATTATCAAAAAAGACATAAACAGAAAGAAACGAGAAAACGCAACACAAAAAGTGACTAAAATAAGAGATAGCGATGGTATAATGGTCGACAACCCGACGGAAATAGTAGCTGCTGCTGAAACTTTATTTTATGTTTTTTTTGTTTTTGTTCTATTTGTTTTCCGAAAAACGGCATTATTGTGGCTCCCTGGATTTTTTGAAGTATGAAATTTTTGAAATTCAATTGCATATTTCACTTAACAAAATATGAAGTCGCCTAAAATGAAGTTAAAATTATGTACACACGTGCGACGTTCAAGTTAACGTTAGATTTATTTACTAATTTTAGATTTAAAATAAATTTCATTCTCTGGATTTGTCAGAAAGTCACTTATAAGCTCCACTTTTCAACATGAATTCCTTTATTAAATTTTTGTTCAGAACCTTGAAGTTTATAAACTATTAGCGAATGGAAAATCGTTTTTACTTCACTTTGTTATAGATAAGCATGTTGGTATTAACTTTTCTGCAAAAGATACTGCCAATATCTACAAATGATTTTATATGAATTTAGTGGATCGTCAGTCAACTTTTCAGCTTTCATTTTCATAACTCTTCTCCTTTTAATGTTCGTTTAAAACTTTTATTTCGCATAATGAGTGCCTGCCTTCACTTCTTTTCTCAAAAATTCTCGTTTCTTACACATTTTAGTTGCATGCCTCTATATACGAAACGATTATTCATCATGCTATTACTCTGTTTGTTGACGTAAAATTAAATTTTATTTGACAAATGTGTTTCAAATAGGTTTCACTGAAATTCCGGCTAAAATATTCGATTCAAAGAACGTGAAATGTTCATCTTTTCTGTTTTGCTTACAATAACTTGATCTATTTACCGAATTGTCTGAATTTTGGCACTAGAAGCGACCGTGGGTTATTATTGAAAACGCCTCGGATAATTTCTATTCTATAAATATCTGAGCGCCTTGTTTTAAACTATTATAACATCGTTTAAACCATTTATATTCAGTAAATACTCAATAATTTAGTTTTATCATTTATTTAGGACTATTTAATACCATTTAAACAAATATTCAAAACAAAACGTCGGTTAAGGAAGCCTACTTCTTTTACTCTTTGTAGGTCCAGGGCCTATTTTTTCACCTCCTTTTCTTAATTCCTGTTTGAGAAATTGGTTGCAAATTTCGATTTGGTCTAGCCAACGAAAATAAATTGTCCTTCTATCTCAACACAATGTTCTCCTCAGAAGTTCAGTCTTTTATTGATTTCTGCAATGACGAATTTAATACCTACTAACTAGTTTAGCTTTGCCTAGTAGAATCCTTGGCAGCTTACAAAGCAGTCTTTTAAAAGTGAACTGTTCGGCTTAATCTATCGGTGGAGCTGCATTGTATATAAAGTGCAAACACGTGCAACGAGCTGATGCTAATCCTGCTCCTAAATGAACATTTTTGAGCAGTTAATGAGAAGCAAACACTATAATGAATTGGCTATTATTATAGGTTCATTTTCATGGTAGTCGGCAAATCCAATCAGAAAGTCTGGCACTTGCTTAAGTGGTATCTTCTTTGCCAAATGCTAAAATATGTTATCAAACATGTTAGTTTGGTGTAAGTAATTGCATAAAAATAACATTATACGTTGTACAGCAAGTATTTACAAACGATTTTTTTCCTACAGTTTTCACTTACTTTAATTTTCCTCCTGCATTTACAAGGCTTTTTTTTCTTTCGAAATTTTCGAACATGTTTCTTTTTTCGCACATTTTCATGTTGGTCTTCGCTAGCTTGAGGAATAACAGTCTCAAGCGTTTTGTTTAGAGTTAACATGTCTAGGCTGCCATTAGCGACATTTCTTTTCGTATCCTCATAGATTTTCATTTCTTCTTCTCCAAATGTTTTTCTTATAGCTTCACTTAAATATTACAATAGTTTAGTGAGATTTTGTTGCGAGTCAAAATAACTCGTCGAACTTTACAATTATTTTTTAGTTCGTCAATATTTAAATTCCCAGTTAGTTAGTTCATGTTTGGCAATTTTTTTTGTGAGTACTTCCATAACTCCACTGTTAGCAATCAATTCCAAAAACACAATACATAATTCAGAATTATAAAAACATTAAAACTTTAAATATTGAAACTAATAGACTGAAGTGCAAATATTTTATCTGCTGTAGAATGCGAGAAGGAATTTGGCAATAAATGAAAAGCTAAAGGGCTAACAAAAATGCCATCAATGGATACTGAAATTGTAACTATAGGCTAACAAAAATTTAATGAAATAAACTTTGGTTGCAAAAATATAGCATAATTACTAAACTAAACATAATTAAAATTTACAAATGTATTGTGTTAGTTATTTCTAAATAGAGACTTACTCTTTAGGCTCCTTGCAATAATTAAGGATTATGTATAGAATACTACACGGCACTTGACAACATTCATCAGCGATAACTTTTCGATTTTTCCGGTCCATTGGAACAACTAGAAAAAAATTACAAACCCAGATAAGTTTACTATGTCGACACCAAATTAATGCCGAATAATCTAGAACCATGCTTACGTCCAGAAATTTTACTTTTCCTGCTAAGTATTATTTTCTGAAATCTTCATATCAATTTGGAAAATGTGATTGTGATATTTTTGATGCCCTAGTCGGGACTTACAAAAAGAGTCGACATTTTTGGATTGTGGAATACTTACTTATTTCAGTCATAAATTATTACGTATTTTAATTACATACCATCCGCGGGTCCATAAAAAAATTGGCAAAAGTCGTGCAGTTGTTCAGTAAGTTTAGGACCACAAAATGTCCCAGGTGCTCTGAACGGCGAATTTGATTCCATGGATTGGCAATCACTGACTTCTAAATTTAGTACTATTTGTAAAGCAATAGTCGTCGCAAAAGTGCGAATTATCATGTTAGTAGTGATCCTAAAACCAACATTGTTCAAAAACTTTTTTCAGAAATTCAATTTTCTAATATTTTGAAGGCAAAGTAGTTTTCAGAAGCAGTTGAAAGTGGAATTTCTGAATGGAAAGGAATATTGATTAAAAACTAAAGTGGGTACTCGAAGTAGTTTTCATAATTTATTACATATTTCATTAACACTATTACAACAACCCTATGAGTAAAAATTGAAACTAAATTTCTGGATCTATTGTTTATAGGATGCCAGCCGCATTTACTTACTCATGTTTAAATTCAGAAATCACACAAAACATCTTTGTACATTTCAAGCCATATTTATACTAGAGTAAACTAACAGTTTTGCTCATATTTATACTTGGCCTTCCATTCAAATTTCCTATTAACTCCTAATCAACCATAACGTATCAAATAACAAAAAATCGTTTTCCATAATTCAAATTTTCTGACATTACAATAACCAAATTTATTTATAATCTGTTTAATTTTCCGGGTCGGTATCAGATTACCAACACCGGAAATTCTCAAATTATCCGATTTTCCGCTATCTTTCTACCCTCTTCCTTTGTACAATGCCTCAAAAGAAAATAAGCAAATCTCAAAGGGGAAAAAATCGTATTCTTTGTGGTTATTCACTTTTCGCCAGTGACTTATTACTTCTCCTTTTGTTGGCATTTAAAACGCATATTCAATTTTTTATTCGGTTTATCCAGGCATGTATTTCTCTTTAGCTAAAATGTACTCTTCCTAGCAAGAATACTTTGTAAGGAATATCATTTCCTT